AAAAAAAATATAATCATTTCTAAAAAAGATTCGATAATTTATTCAATCAAGAAACATATATATAATATAATCTAGAATTAGAATGAATTTGAATTATCTTTAAAATTCATATATTGAATTATTCTGATTCGATTTTATTCACGATAATCTTTTGAATATATATAATAAAAAAGAAATTTCTTCAATAATCATTTCAGATTTTCTAATAGAAATATTCGAATTGAATTAAAAACCTTCGTGAATTCCGAATATCTTAAAAAAATTTGATAAGATTTCTATTATATTTGAATATAGAATTTCTTTATCACCTTCATCATATATCTCTTATAATATCCTCTCAAGAATCAGAAATTCGGAGAATCAATCTAGAAAATTCAAAATCATTATAAAAATATGAAATTCAAATTATCTAAATTAAAAAAATTATGCAAACATATATTTTTCAAAATCCAATTTCATACCTAATCCCAATAAACGAAAAAATTTGAAGAATCATCATTTTTATTTGAAAGATAAATTAAAAAAGATTCGATTTTTAGCGGTTTTGCTTCCAAATATATTTCTCGCCCTTTAATTTTTTCCTCAATCTATAGTCGCAATTCTATGAATAAATACTTCTATTCGTGCGAAATAAGAAATATAAATAATCTCATCAATAATCAATCAAAGTAGTGTAAATATCTACGCCGAAGATTTTACGATAAGAAAATAATCAATCTCAATTATACGTATCTATGAATTCAAGACCTTAGAATTTCTATAATTCAAAATCAATAAATTCAAATCCAACGATCTTTTCCTTTTGAATCAAATTCAATAAAAATTATATACTATCAATACGAAATATATTTTCATAATATATGCGCAAATATATCTCTTGCCAAATGAATCATATCCTATTATATTTACATTCCGATCATGAAATTAATTTCTTTCTATATTAGAAATTGATGTATATGTTAATATCTAATTTCTCGAATATAAGATTCTACGTATGAATATTTAATATTTCTAATTTTGAAATCCTTATTTCCCAAAATTGAAATTTTTGTCTTCAAAGAAATCCTTAGGGTTTCCGTATTTTCATCTAGCACTAGTTCTTTTGAATCTTTCCTATTACGATTGGATCATTTTTGTCATATAAGGGATCATTCGGAATTCTATATCTGCGAACAGCACTATAATGCCTCTAAGCAGTCATAGAAAATGGAGAAAGATCTATATAGGCGCAAGATTGAGATATCGACTTCCTCTTTTGATTTTCTTCAGAGGATAGCCTGCAGCCTTTGATTAATAAAATCAATGAGAAGGTGGACTTCCCCCGCGCACCTCAACAAGTGATGAAGCCCTAAAAACTTGATCTACAGCCGCTAGACAATTTGTAAAGGAGAACTACAGCAAGCTCCAAGAGAGCTAGCTGTCGTGACTTTTACTTAGCGCGTTGGTCTCGTAAATGGCGTCATTTTAGTTATGTCAGGGGCCCAGTGCAACTATTGTGTTGAAGCTCACACGTTCCTCACAAGCAATCTTCCTCACAAGCACGCACGCATGTTCTGCCAGGGGGATATGTTCTTGCAACTGTTTCGTCGTATTGTTAGTGCTGCAGCTTTTGTATCACTACCGCAGCTTTTTTGCATTACTACTATGAATGCTTGGCTCTTAAGTATGTAATTGGCCCACCAGATGCGACAGACAGCAAGCAAAGCAATTCAAGCTTATTCAATCCTTGTTTTCGCGCGAGCATGGGCCATGGTCGTCTTTGCAGGCTTTGCCTGACGAGCTACACAAATTCTTCTTGGCACGCACTGTACACATGCAAGTCGCAAAGCATCCTAGCAGGCTCAATGCTTACCACAATGGCCGATACCCAAAGTACCTGGATCAGTCCGCACATGCTTTCTGACGGCAAGCTGAGAACTTGCAAAGCTATCTGCGCTGGAAAGGTGGGTCACCAGACTTTCACGTGGCGCACGACCTCGAACATCACAACAGCAGCTGTGCAATTGGCATGCCTTGAGTCCCTGAACTTTCTGCAATCCAGTCATCGGCATTTGAGCAAAGGCTATGGAAGGTTTCAGGCTGTTCACATGCAGCAAGCCGCATGCCCGCTGCCCTATTCACTTGACTCGGTCAGTGCTCGACATCTTCCAAGTCAATTACAGCAAACGAAGCATGTCTGTGCGAATGCTCGTGCGTTTGTCCCTGCTGCCGGCCCTGCTGTAAAAGCGCTGCAAGTTTTGGGGAAGAACTATGCACTAACTTTGGTCAACTCATCTATTATAGAGATTCAAATAGCAAGGCCGTCTAATGTGCTCAGCGTTCTGTCGAGATTTCAAAGATCCGGGGCCGGGTTGCCTCATCCCCGAGAGACTTCTGGAGGATGAAAGTAAACACATGAAATAATGTAAGCTCGACTCCACATGGCCCATGACACTTCGGTGGGAATCTGCGATAACTCGGAGGTTCTCTCAATTGAGGATTTAGCTTTGGGCCTGCCTGTTGAAAGGTCTGCTGGGATTCAGCACAACATGTAAAACCTAAAGAATCAGTCACGCCTTGTTCTCTGACCTGTCATGGCTCTGTTTGCCGTGTTTGCGATCCCTTCAATGTGCCTGTGGATGGTTCCCTTGACTTGAGACATGCTGCCACTGATACAATGCTCAGAACCCGGCAGGATCGTGGATGATGTAGCAGAAGTTCAGGAGACTCTCCTGGGCACTTCCCGAGTATTTCAACACTGGCACAAGTCAAGGACTTCATCTCTTCTACGTGTGGTCCTTCGGAAAAAGGAAGCCTCCCTCTCCAAGAGAGGTGATGGAGCCGATCGTCGAGAGCACCTGCCAGTCTGGCACGCACTGCAATCACAGCTCAATGCTGAGTTCCAGCAAACAAAGATCTAGAAACGAATAGCGCAGCAGTACGCCTCGACGTCTCCAGTGTCGCTGCGGCGGACGGATAGCAGATCCTCACAGCTGTGCTGGTTGAGTGTTTGCTGCGGTCCTCTCTGGTCCGTCCTTGTACACAGCCTTGGTCGCTGTGAAATAGTCCTGCGAGGTTGAACTGCCAAGCAAGCTGTAAAGTAGATGTATGCAGCTGTATAGTGCTGTTGCCGACGATGAACACTTCGACGCTGCCAAAAGGTTTCCAATTGCCAGGGCCTCGTCATACCTAATCCACTTCAGCAGCTGTGTCCTCTATGTGATCCTCATACCTGTTCAGCCACTTGCCATTCTGCTGCCGTCTCTCTGGAAGATGCTAGGACTCGGGCTGGTTGGAGGCACCGCCAAACACAAGGTGTTGGAAAATTCTTAACAAGAACCTTAGACGTCCCAAGTTTGAGCATGCAAGATGTGATGCAACTGAAGCCAAGCCGAGAGCTCTCTTCTGTCTTGCTCCGAGAATGTATCATAGAGCTCACTCTCGTCCACTAATATAGCCTCGCGGTACGTTCAATTGCTGCAAGTTCTACAGGTGTAGCCTGATGATCCTTGTACAATCCAACTCTGCTGCATGATTTGTGGTGGTGGCAATATGTTTGCGCTGCGCAATTTGAGTGGCAACCTGATGGCAACCCTGTGGCTGGCCTCTCTGATGAGGTTCACCTGGGCATTGCTTCCAAGACTTGACAAGCAGATCCCAAACAAGAGCCCTGGACTGGGCATCCTTGAAAATGCTGCACTTTCATAACCCTGCTCGTCAACTTCTGTACCAATTGGCTTGGATCTGGTCTCTTGCCGTTTCGAGGAATCACACGAACAGGAGTTGGTTTGGCTGTGCTCAGACTGCTCTGGGTCGTCGAAAACATTCTTGATGTTGCGATGTTGCTAGGAATATTTAGGAGTCATGTTAAGAACCTGTCCTGGCATACTGGACGTACAGCTGGCAAGGCAACTGAAGTGGACACGACAGCGAGCACTACAATTTACAGACGCGCCGAGCGCGTAAATTACAACAAGTCTCAAGCTAGTCAGGACATGTCAGGACCACTGCATGCAAATGAATGAAGCTGTGGCTACCTCACCTGCTGCTTTGCGATTTAGCTCAAAAACTCAACAAACTAAACGGCAATACCTTGGGGATCCTTGGGGCAAGGCAATCGGCACGTCCTCCCAATCTTCCTCTAAGCGGCCGCGAATGTGACCTCCGTGCATATTATCATGAAGTTATCTCTGCACTCCGCGTGCAAGGGGGATTGACTCTACAGCGAATCCATCATGCTGACGCGTCACCTGAGCTACTTATACATCCGGCTTCTTCGAGCTTGTTGAAGAAGGACATGCTGACGACCTGCTCGTGCGAATTTCTGCTAGCTTCCCGCCACCCCAAGAATCACCTTTGTACTCATCGGCTGCCATCTGACGGCGACTTTCGGTGGGCTCAGCCTTGCAGTGCCAGGTTTGCCAGGATGCTTCTGTCTTGCTTTCTAGCATACTTCGTGCATACTTCGTGCATGTGTGCGGGTCATTACGGGTCCTTGCTCCTCTCCCCTCACAGTTCACTTCCCAGGATCGGGGTGTGGCAATGTGTGGCAGTCCAGCTTTGCCGGCACGGTTCCGTTCAACAAGGCAGTGTCACCACCAAGGTCAAACGGGATATCTTTTCAATCTCAGCATCACACACGCGGATGCCAGTTGTCGCCTGCAGAACGGAGAGCACCTCCCTGCGAGAGAAGCTCCGGTCTTCACATGCTTCTACTGACCTACCATACCATGTGGACACACCATACGAGTCCCTTTCAATTATTACATTGAATCACAGTGCCAGCCCAGCTGAGGTCAAAAAAGGGGCCTGTCTTTGAAGAAGGCGTCCAACATGTCCTGGAATGTTTCGCTTGTGACCTCATCGACTTCGAGCGCAGTAGCAGTCTTCACATGGGATGTTGTGGGAACCGACTTAGATGGTAAGATTGACCGTTTGCTCAGGCCTTCTGCTCCACTCGGAAAGTGCACATGGCCTTAGGATTTGCGATGGCACAGGCAATGACCAGAGTGCCTCTTGACATGCACCCTGCCCCAGGTCAGTGACCATGTCAGGTCCGAAGCCCCATTTGTCAAAGAAGGGCTGTATCTCTGGAGAGCCAAAGGAACTAAACCTGAGCCAAAGTCATGTCGCATACAGTATCAGCACGGGCTCAACTACTGATGCTTCCAAGCCCCAGGCTTTGCATCGGGAAGGTGATGGAAAGTGTAACTCCTCCCTGTCGGCTCCTGACTCGGCCGCATACTCTTCGGCACGCTTGACTCTAAAGTCTGACAGATCTGCATGCCCCTTTCCGACATCTCGCGTTTTTTAACACTTGCTCGCACCTTCTCTTTTTCCCTTCTTTCTCTCCTTCTTTCCTTCCGTCCTTTCCTTGCTGCTTCCTCCCCTCCTACCCTCTACTTCTCACACAGACTCGCTCAGGCTCTGGACCAGCCTCGATCTCCGGCTTGACCGGCTGTCTGCTCTCCCGCGTACATAGTTACTCGCTTGTCACTCCCCAAGCTAAATGTTGCAACGATGCATTCCTCGTCCAGCTCTTCTATTAGCATCGGCATCGCTATCAGATCGTGGTGTGTGCAACTATGGTTGCTAACGAATCTTGTCTGACAGTCTGACTTGGGCCCTGCTTTCACGCATGGGAATTCCATAGCGTTGAGAATTCCATCTTGTCGTGCTGGATGTGATGAGAAGTGACGTTGTGCGGAACACCTCTTCCAACCGCTAAGCTCATGTCTCACAGGGTGCATCTGATTGAGCCACCATGAACGCTAACCAACCAGAGGTTGTAAGCTATGCAATATTCAAGGAGGGACAGGTGCTCGTTGGCCAATTCAATTCAATGAATCCCAACTTCAACTTTTCAACCTCGCCATGGACCTGCTGCTCCCGGAGGTTCTTGCTCCTGGTCAGTACTGCCAGCAAGCTGGACACGCATCCACAAGAGTGCGGTCCAACGAAACAGCGGCAAAACAAAGGCTTTCAGCAAAGGCCTGCAGTACGTCATCTTGCTCTCCGATACGTCGCGCGCACTGGATCAAGGGATTCTTCTCCAGGCCCAGCCTAGGCTGGTTGCAGCTTGGAATAGCGTTTGCAGCGTGAGGAGTGGAGGGAGACGTCGAAAAAAGGGGTGGGCCGCGATTTGGGGGACTTCCTTTCGGTTCAGTACACGCCTTGCGCAAATGCGTTGCCTTTCTGCAAGTGCTTGATGGTGCAAACCTTTGGCCAGCTGTGTCCGCGGCATAACACCCAAGCGCCGTGAAATGACAGGCTGATCGACCAGCCCACAGCCTTCCCAGACTTGAAATCTCTCTTTAAAATTTTGCAGGCGTCTCTGCAGACATCTCAGGGCAGGACCAAGCAGCAAATCACTTGCTGCCTTCAAATGATTCGATTTCTCTAAGACAGTTGTGCTGATTCCAGCAATAAATCCATCGCTCAAAGGTTTGGGAGGCTCTAGTGGCTCTAGATGTCCCTCAATTGTGTCCTTGAAACTTTGTCTACTCAGACTTGCTTGCAGTCTACGGCGCACAGCTTTCCGGTGCCTGAATGACAGCATCATCCTCCATGTGCAGGACACGATGGGTAGCCTTGCTGACCCAAGAAGGCAGGATGCCTTTCTGAACTTAAACATTGCTCGTGCTTCAGCAAGCGTTCACCTCTTCATCCTCACCTTGTAGTGGACCAGCAGCGAGGCGAAAGCTGCGCTGGCCGCTGCACGCAGTGGGGCGGAAGCAAGCCAAGAGGTCGTAGCCTGCAAACAGCGTTACCCGGTGCCAGCAAGACATTGCGCTCACGGTGAGCGGCGCAGCTGCAACACCCAAACACAACAACGCCACAAAGCCGCGCGCCTTGATCAACCTCGCACAGGAGGGAGATGCTAGAAAGCTCATCTGTTTACTAATATCAGCCCTAAGCAGGCGCATCTCGGCTTCGGAGCCCCAAGTCCAAGGCAGCTCGTTGACACGTTTCAAGTCTTCGGCCATAGGATGCTGCCGGATGGGCAAATCCTGTGAGCTGTCTGGAAGTCACTGACGCAGCACCAAGTATGTACTGTCGCCATTGCCTCTACAACGGTCAAGAAGGACCTTTCAAGCTCTCCGAGTATGAGGACCTTGCAGCGCAGCTGGTCCAAAAGACGATTTGACACGCCATGGCCGTGCCATGCGACGGCGAAAAATGAAATACCGTTCACTGATACCCTTACCCTGGTAGTCTGAGGACGCTGGCAGCCTGGCCAGCTTTGCCCGCACGCGCTGTGCGACCCACTCGGTGAATGTACCTCTGCAGCTCGGCGCAGGGCTACTTACTTTGCGGCTGTCTACCAGGAAGAGGGTGCATCTCGCGGGTTGGCGGGGCTCCGAACTGCAGCACCTTTCTGCACTGTGCTCAGCAGCTAAATATTGGAATTCTCTCGTCTGTCGATCCCATTTACTTCAATGCAACCCGTGGCGAGTGCGTTGCTGGCACTAGCTCTGGAACGCCTCAGGCCCATGCAAGAGTCACGTTGGGATAATCCATGCCGCGAGCGGAGACCTGCAGCGCACATAAACAAAAAGACGATATGGTCCACACGAAGCTCATCGCATTAGCTCGTTCAAAGAAACTTGAGAAGACGGCCATGAAAGTTAGAGGCAGCAGTAGAGAAGAAGCCATGCAGCTATAGAACTGAGGTCTGGAGCAAGAGCTTTCGGAAGGGGGAAGGAGGGGGGGCTTGTTATTGATGGATTCAATCTTTAAGGGTGGCGGAGCCCCCCCTTGCATGAAGAAGTTAACGACATTTTCGCCGACCTAGCAAAGCCGTCAACGAGAACTACTGCAAGCTCCAAGAGAGCTAGCTTTTGCGATCATGGTCGCTGTCATCGCAGCAGGACAAGAGGCAGGATCAGCAGAAGGAGTAAAAGTAAGCGGAGGAGGATGATGAGTGGGCAGCAGCAGCAGCTGATCTGGAAGCGAGGGTAGGCTGCTGCCGGTGTTGGTAGTTGTGGTCGCGTGGGTTCGGAGGCGTGGCAGGGGCAGGGTGGAGTGGGGTTCAGGTGCTGTGGTCTGCTAGCTGGTGATGAGATCCTTCAGCCTTTGAAGATGCCTGGCGTCTGCAAGTATTGGGCTAACTCCAGGGCTGCCGCATCGGAGGAGAAGAGGATGCCAGATTGCGCTTCCTGGAGACAAGCAAAGCAGGCAAGGAAGCCAAGCACTGAAGCCAAAGTGGATGCGTTGTCGAGCTCTGATGCCTTGAAGCGCTCTTGCGTCGAAATCCGCGCGTCAGCCTGAGCAAGATGTGGCTCTGCCTGCAGTGCTCATGCTGCAAGAAATCTGAGCCTCAGGCATCACGCCGTCTATGAATCTCGTACACGCCCATTCGGAGCTGCTCACGGAAGAACCTCATTTCAACTACGCAGCATTTCAGTGTAAGCAGCTCCATTTGCCCTGGTTGCCAAACGCAACATCTTACTGTCCAAGCTTGCTGCTGTGCCATAAAAGTCGTCATTCTTGCCTCTGCACTATCATAGCATGCTGAAAAGAGCGGATGCAGACTGGACTCAGAATGCTAGGGCACACCTAAATCCAACTAAGTGAGGCCAGCTGCTGTGGCGAAGAAGACCAAGATCTTGTAGCCATACCTGCTCTGAGTCTTGAATCAGCATGCAAAGATATGCAAAGTTCAGGGATTGCTCGACCCCGACCTATCTGAGGCCATCTCATTCATGATGAGATTGTACAGCGCTGCCAAGCACTGGTGCCTAGAATGATATTCCGAGGTATTCCGAGGAGTTATTCTGGCGGACTCTTGCGACTTGAGTGGAGCATCCGGCTGTGACTAGGGATCCCAACCCGTTCAGCACTACATAGGACTGCTCCACCATGCTGGCAGTTGACTCCGACTCCTCTGGCTAGCACATGCGCGTGTAACCCAGACATAGCCGGTCAGCGGGCCACATTTCTCCTTCTAGCCACAACAGCAGTAGTGTCATGCAAATGCAAAGACTCCTGCCCCACGCAGTCTATGTAGCGGTAGTTTCCGCGGCACGCCTTTGAAACGACGTCCATGACCTCAGCTAATTAATTCTCCAATCCCGCAGGCAAGACATGCACGTGGTGGCTCCAGGGGCAAGACGCTTTCTGGCATTGTTGCAGAAAAGAGCATTGTGCGGCGCCTTTGTGGCAGTTTTGCTTCAGGTTCCACAGGCTTGCCACAGCTAAGCAATGTGCCGCGTGGGAAGGTACGACACGATCTCCTTCACCTAAGTGCAGCGGATAGAACATGACAATGATGACCGCGCCTCTGCTTGGAGGCAAACAGGCAAAATACTTTGTAGCCTCCATGTAATTGGACATGTGATTCTCCATTCTTTTGTGACTGAAATAGTGTAGCTATTCTGGCTCCTAAGCCTGGCCTCTGGCAGGAAGCCCAAACTCAAAAGCCGGTCTGCCTCATCGAGCACCTGGGCCAGAAGGTTTTCATTTTCGGGCTTCTCAACGCCTTGTGCAGAGGCATCTGTTTCAAAACATAGCTTTAGAGAAGCACTCCATGACGCTAGGTAGGTTCGGGACCAAGGTTTGCAGGTTTTGGACCAGGGTGGCAAAGAGGTATGTCCTGCCAAGGCCAAGGCTGCCAATTCCTTTTGGTACTGCGTCGAAGGTTGTTCTAAAACACGCGCACAGCGTCCTTTCCAGGTGTTCAAGGAGGCGCCCGGGTGTTGACACCTCGGTCTGCCACAGCCACTGTCTCCATCTCCGTGCATAAGCCTCCAGAAACGGTGGAACAATGGAACAAGCCGAGCTTCCAGACTAGGACGCGAGGCTTGATCCGACGCAAAGCCACCTATCAACTTCTCGTCTTCAGGAGGAGTGCCGGATGAAGGCTGGGGCCTGCCTGGTCATGCCTTGTGCTGGTCCCGCCGATCATGCTCATCAGCGATATGTCGTGTATCGACAGGAGGGTCTCAGCCTGAGGCAAACCCCGAACACACTCTGCAGGTATGCTACAGGACCCTGTTTGGTGAAACCCTGACAGGCACCAGCAACTTGAAGAAACTGCGGCTTGAAATGCAGTCAGCAGGTAAGGGATGCTGAAGTGACATCTACCAGAAATCCAATTTTGTCTAAACAGCAACAGCGCATCCAACTAAGCCTGATTCGGAGCGGATTGCCTAAATCGATCCCAAAGGGCCTCTTGTCCAATCTGCAACGCCAGCTCTCGCGTGGGAGATACCACCAGGATCGCAACCTCTGATTGGGTACTTGTTTGCAAGTGGATGTATCATGATGTATCACAGCCTTTTCCAGAATTCCAAGATTCTCACACTAAGGAGTGTGGGGGCTGGGGGGGAGGGGCCCTTAAAACTAGGTCTAGACCTATTTCACCAAAATTATGTGTTCCGGAGCGTTGAACCACTGTCTTGAAGATCTCCAGGACTCTTTTGCTGATGGGCACATGCACAGAACTGCATTGACAACATCTGCGCTTGCAACCTGTCATCATCAACTCCCACACCTTGCAACAGCCCCGCCCAGACCTATTTCTGAACGGACCCGCAGTGTCCGAGAAAAATGCCTTGAATCGCCTGGAACCAAAGAAGAATAGGACAAACGCACAGTGACCCCCCTTCCGAGACCTATGAGACCCATTATTCACGGGGGACAATGGTGGAAAATTTCCAAGTATCCCTTCCGATCCTGGACAGGACGAGGTTTATGATGGGGTTCCATATGATCGACATCTGCGCTGCAATGCGTAATCTGTCATGGTGACTTATATCCAACTTCTATCACTCACCGTGGCATGTTGCTCCCTGAGTGCAGTGCACACCCCTACCACTAGCTGCAACCTGGTAGTCGAAGGCTGCCTTGAAAGCTTCAAGGATCCTAAATGCATGGACCAGCCCTGCTTGGGTCTCCTGCACCCTGCCCGGCAGGTTCGGCGGCCAGCTTCTGGAAGGCAAAACGGGCTCTTGATTTGCTTTCCACTAGGCTCACTCGTCTCGTGCTACTCTTGGATTCTCCCAATCTTGTCTGCTGATCTTTGCCTTTTCAAAGTGTCGCAGCACTACTTACAGTCTCTGCCTTCTGATCACCCACTCAACTGCGAGCCTCAGAGTTCCCCTAGTTGCTTAACGTGCTTTACTTCCAGCACGATTGGCCTCCACCGCTGGTATGAGGAAGGCAAGAGTCTTGCCAGTGCCGGTATGCCTAAGTTTGTGCAAACCAGCAGGCAGCCTGGCCGAGCCTAAATACTACCACTGAGACAAGCACGCTCGGACGACAAGATCGGAATTCTTGGCCAAAGCTGTTGGTAACACCTCTCCGTGCATGCATGGAGGGTTGACGATTAATGACGATAAACATCCCTTTCAATTTCCAGGCGACGCTTCTCCTCCAGCTTCAATATTATGGACTTAGGTCTAGGAAACGAGGGTGGCGCCCAGACCTCCAATATCTCGCATGAAACGGTAGGCTAGTACCTCTACAAAACGGCTTGCCCGGGAGCTGCATGGAGCTGCCACCTTGTCTTGTGAGGGTTCGGCCAACACCCTCGTGACTACACTTGGCCGGCCATGACTTACAATACCTGGCGCCAAATATGAGCTCTAGTCCAAAACTCCTGGTGTCCGCCTTAGTATCCCCTACAATGCTCCCCTATATAACCCCCTTTAAGGAGCTTGGACTACTGCTCATATGCTGCCTGGATTCTGCGTGAAACATGGCTAGCCTCGTGTAATCACAAGGCTGTCAGGCAAAAGCTGACCTGCCTCGCTTTTTCAAAGCAGAGAACTACGCACAGCCTCACAAAAAAAAGGTTTCCGACTGAAGTTTGTTTCACCCCAGCTGCTAGAGGCTTGTGCCAAAGTGCAGGTGGAGGTATGTAATGAAGTATGTCGCGCATGTGGCAGAATACAACACTCTGGGTCGTAGCTCTTGAAGCTGCTTTGGCACTGGCTTCTCGAGAGTGCCAATCTTGGGTTGGTAGGGATTGCTGCGAAACTGTGGTCCGACATATACTCCGTGCACCAGAAGGTGTAGACGCCCGGCGCTGTTACAAGCCATTGATTTCGGCATCTTGTCTTTCGATTCTTGCAAAACGGAAGCTCATTGCGTCCTACAGGTGCACAAAGGAGGTTGCAATTCCAATCCCATTGTTAGTCACTTATGGAGGAGGCTTGCAGAGCTTTGTTTTGATGGGATCTGATAGGTGTATGTCCCGGCTTAGACTATGGGAGGAACCAGTGGTAGAGATGTTGCGTTGGACGGCCTAACCAAAGCAAACATTATGCATGCCAAGCGGATACGGCTTCCAGTACCAATTGCAGCAAGTCCATCAGATCTCAATCCCTTGCATGTGAAGGCAGCGCCTGAGCCTGGACTTCGGACATCTCCTCGTATCCAAAGCCCTCGCGCCTTGCACCCGCGAGCCCAAGCTTGGGGCTTCTGATCTGTAAGTCCATTTCATTGCGGTACACCTCCAAGCTTCGAACATCGCTAAGCCCCAAGGTCCGCACAGCGCTGTCTGTGTTGCTTCGGAGAGCTGCAGGTCCGCAAACTTGCGGGGTGCCCCCTTTCAGTCAAAGCAAGCAAGCCACAATAGGAGGTGACGGAACTGCTCCTGACCTGCTGCTCAAGATTTCTGTCATGTAGACGTGTCTTGTGGGTTGGGTAAAGACTGCTATAACTGCGCAGGTAGTGGAAACGGCTGTCAACAGCCAACAAAATGAAGAAACTCTGGGAGAACTGCTCTGAAACATCAGAGTAGACAAACTTTGTGGCATTATCAGCCTCGTCGTGCAGTCGTGGCTGCAGGCTCGGCGCGCGCAGCGGCCCTGATGGAAGCTGCGCTTGCAGCAGGACCGAGAGTCGCAAGCAGCGTGCCACGACGGCAACTTGCCCAGCTCTCCTGCCTGCTGTTTGCCGTTGAGCGCGAGTACGCGCACATCTTGACCTCAGGTGTCTCAATGCGCGGATGCCAAGCCTCACTCGATGTTGTGTAGGAGACCGCACTGCGCATATGCAACAGGCAGCTGCCAGAAGCGCGGTCCTGGCAATGCAATGCCAGAGCCTTCTAGAATCCACTACAAGCGAGCCACTAAAATTTCTAAAGATGAGTGCTTTGTTGTACAAGGTCTTACAAAGCTAGACAGATACCCCAGTTACACTTCTGAATCACAGATTCTCACAACCTCCAGAGGCGAAGCAGTGCCGCCAGCAGGCCTCACGGTGCACCGCATTAACTGCACGTCGAACTGCCACTCGCTTACATGTCAGCTTTGACAAGTACGGGCATTGACCTCTTGCAAAAACATGGCCTAAGTTGCCTTTCAAGAGCTCATGTCCATGGCAAGCTTAGGCTTAGGTCCCAGCACGCGGCACACGACACGCGCCTCATGCAAGGATGCACCGCCCGTCATCACATGAATATCATGAGTCCTTTCCTCTAAGCGTAAGCCATCTTAAGTTGCATGCCACATGTGCAGATTGTAATAGACTGCAAACCGACATAAAAAGGCAAGGCTGGGCCCCCATCCACGCTCTATAGTTGCGGAGTATCACAGTCGCACAGGTTTTCAGCTCCAAGCTTCGCATTCTGCCATGGATGGCTACATGCGCAAGGGTCTATAGCATAGCATGTGGCTGCTTTGCGCTTTTCGGAGTTGGACTTGAACCGGCACAGATCCTAGGCCGTACTGTGATACACTCACACACATTATGTCGTCATGTTCATGAGACCTCTGTGCGTTATTAGGCCTCTCAAAAGCCAACTGAAAACTGAAGATCCTGAGTTCGGGAACTTTGCCCGATGGCTGATGATCTGAGCCACGAAGTCACAGGCACAATGCCGTTCGACTTGGCTAGATCTAAGGCACCACGGCAATAGCTACCATTTTTCCTCCAGGAGCATACCGCGCTTGGCCGCTTCGTCCTGTATCCTGGACAGCTCGAATCCTGCGGCGCCAGCACATCTTCCAAATGGCGGACCCATCTGCAGAGCAGTCGGAATTTCGTCTCGGCTCCAGACCATTTGGGAGTCTCATGGAACCCACGAGGTTCATGCAAGTGAACCTGTGCCAGCCAGCGCCAAGCTGAATCACGGAGTGGAGGGTGTAGCACGTCTCTTGCAGTCGAAGCGCAGCTCTTCATCATCCAGCGATGAAAGTAAAGCCTCAGCCAAAGGCTTCGATGGAGTCTAGCCTGCTGGCTAGTGGCAGAAGCGTACTGCGTATCCAAACACATTCTCCGCATGCATCCGCTTGTTGTTTGACATTGCCAGCCGATTCTTTCCACACCCAGACCTACTGACTGAGGCATGAACACAAAGCCGCATCAAGACCGCGAGCAAGGCCTCCTCCTTATTGATAAGAAAGCCCGTTCAGTGCATGTGGAGCTCTAGAATCTAGAAGAAGTATGAAGCAATCACTTTGCATCGGAGCCAAGAAGTATCAGCATGCACATGAACTGAGATCTGAGCCCCAATACCAGATGGAGGAGGACCCTGCTCGATGTCATCGAACGTCAAAGCCGATGGCGAGGACTGTTCGGATAAGCTTCTACGCTTAGCCATTCTCAAGAAGGGCGGCGTCTGGGTACGATTTGCTGATGTACGAAAATATCTCCAAACTTTCATACATGCTGCAGCGCCTTCCCGTACTCAGACTGCAGTATGGCTGCTGCGTCGAGGAATCCAAGAACCTTGGAGGGAGATCATACATAGACTAGCAGCACGAGGCATGCAATCCGCAAAAGCCGAAAGCAGTTTATCCAGCTCAAACTTGTCTACACTTTCCGGCCATCTGCCGCTCCTGAGGAACTGAAGCAAAGATCCAAAACATGTTCGACAAGCTCCTGACTTTTCCTATGTGATAGGAGCATTTCAATATCTGGCCTCAAATGCGCGGAACATCTCGAGTCGCCCTTGTGCCTGTCGCGAGCTTGGATAGGGAGGACAAATGATGCAGTACAAGGTCTTGCATGTGGGAGGCAGCGGCATCTGCTATCGACTAGTTGGCTAGTTTCAGATTGGCCCTAGGCTTGCAACTTTCCATCGGTGTAAGAGCTTTGATCGGCACCATGCACGGCAAAATCCCCCCTCAGAGGCCCCAAACGTGAGTTATGTCCAAATGGCTGTCAGTCAATGATAAGCTCTCTATCAAAATGCTTGATAATACGCCATACATCATCCAGACCGAAGCTGACATCTTCTGTGCACTTGAAGGCATTTGGGTACGTGCCTCCGCGACCAGTCTGTGGAGCAGGTCGCCCTTGGCGGCCTTTACAGTTGAGTCCAGATCCATGTTTGGATTTGTGTCTCTTCCGAACGCCGTTAGACCCAAATGTACAGCTCAGAACTGAAGAAGGCACATACGCACTGCTGTCCATTGCACGAAAAGTCTCTGCGCGGCGAGCGGGCCCGCAAGGGATACTTGTGTGATTCTTGCGGCAAGCCCAAAAGCCCTCTCAGCCATAACTTTTATCGTAGCCGTACCACTACGTCTGACATCTGTGAAATGAGAGGAAGAGTTCTACCTGGGCTTGCCTTCAGGAGCGAGAGGGAGTGCAGCAGGTGAATGGCCGTCACACTGCGCCGCATCTCCTCTCATGCGCGTTTGTAAACTGTAAGGGTGCCTCGAATTTCACATCTTTCATGTGGACACGAGACACTTGTGGCACCAGGCCTTCAGGTCGACCGCATTGTCGTGGAGAATCCAACGCTTGCCTAACTCGTTGAAGATCACTATTGAGGCTCAACCCCTGACTACTTATGGACAGTAGGGACACGTACCATCAACCGCTGGTCAGGCTGGTTGCCCTGAGTGTATCTTGTGTGACGCTCTAGATTTCAGATGCTCTTTTCAATGCAACATTCACAGACGAAATCAAAGAACATCCGCTCATGGTCTATTCGAGGGTCATGTCATGTATGCAATCAATCATATCGAGGCTGATGCTGGTTTCCAAGAAGCTGTCATCTGTGTATCTCGCGGCAGCGCAGACATACAGCACCTGCTGAAAGCGTGGCAAACACCCGTCACAGAAAGACTTGGAAAGACAACTTGCCTCCCCCAATGCGTCCACATCAAATTCCTCACTGCGTTGACTGGCGGTTGCGTTCGCTTCCAGGAGCTCGCCTCACATAGTGCCAAATGGTTGGATTGCATCCGGTTGCTTGCGACTTGTCCTTGCATTGGCTTTGCCATCCGACTTAAGAAGCCCTGCCACCACAGCTTGAATGCATTGTGATGAGCAAGCCCAGGCTGGTGCAGCCAACTGAGGCCTGACGTTTAGGCCCTGGCCCAGTCTATAGCCAAGCCGTCCCGTGCAGCGCCGCAGCAGAGGGAGGAAGTCTGCCTCCCAAGAGTCTGGCGGCCTCGGGGAGCCCATGTCTAGCTGAGTCTAGCTGGTCTAGCTCTGCATGACATGGTGCGAGTTGAAGCAAATGCCCAAGCGTCTTCTTGCCTTTATGAAGCGCATGTATTAATCCCTTCATGACGCAGGAGTGCTTCTCTCAGTCATCATGCGTGCTTCCCACGGGCCTGATTTCTGATTTCCGCATGCGGGCAAGCTTGTGACTCCAAAGCAGTCCCCAATCTCACCAAATTTTGAGTAGCAGCTGAGCACCCAACACGAGCTGTATCAAGGCCTGGCATGTTGCTCAAATCCAAAGCCACAAGCTTCTGCCAGCTCTTCTAGAAGAGGAGGAGCCCCAGCACGCGCGGCTGCGCTGGCAGTTGCCAACTCTGTCACAAGAGAACACGAGGTCTGGCTACAGCAAGTGCAGCCCGAGCGGCTGCCAATGAACGAGGGATGGATCGCAGCGGCAGCTCGCGGCTACGGCGATACCTCGTAACTGCCATATTCAATCCGTCTTGAGATGTCAGCATAGATACCGCTTGTGGAACGAACAGGAAAACCCCTCGTCAACCAGCTCCATCTGTTGCAGTTCCGTATGCTGAGATGCGCAGCGGCATAGTCAGTAGTGAGTGCCGCCAAAGCGGCAGCTCGGCTCCGAGGCTTGAAATCTGCTTCTTCTTCTCCTCATGCGCCTGCGGGTTGCTGCTTTGGCTTGCTGCTTAGAACTTGCATCTCTCAAGAAACGCGGGGCTCATGCGTCTATGAGACAAAACCGCACCTCATTGTCGTCTTCGTTCCCCACCTGACCCATGCCTTCAGAGCCACAAGCACCTACATGTTTACCAGCTTTATCTAATCTGAGCACACCTGACATGCATCTTTGCTTGGCTGACCTACCCTGCCAACCTCTAGGACTCTAGGACTCTCTACATTCTGACCTTGAGCTTGCCTCCAGGTACGGCAATCCAAGAAAGACGCTGCGTTATACACGTTACAAGCAAAAACTGCGTGGGCTAAAGTAGACAGGTTGACA